ACTGCTGCGACTGCTGCATCGTCGCCGTTGTCGAGTCGTGCTGCGCTCCGGTCGATGATATAATTATAATAGCAGGATAAACCAAAGGTTAATGGAAAAGGGAGAATAGGAAACCAAATGAGATGAGATAAAAGAGAAATGAAATAGGAAGGAAATAAGGAAAGGCCAAGTGGTATAACGGGGTCTCTGACCCTGTCTATCCTCCATCCATTGGGGGTGCTCCTGCCCTTGGCAGTGATGTTCTATAGGGCAGGAAGTACGAGCTTGATTTTCTGTCTGAGGCTGCTCCCCATCTCTGTTCCATGCTGCTAGTCCTAGAGGGTGACCCAGGCGCCCTTGACATCCCGACCCCTCGCACTTACGCTGAGGCGACCTTAGGGCACTGGGCTTCTCAGTGGATAACTTCCATGGAGCAGGAGATGGCATCCTGGAGATCCACCGGCACCTACGTCGACGCAGATCCCCCACCTGGGGTGAACGTAGTCGATGGCTGGTGGCTCTTCAAGGTGAAGCGCCCTCTTGGAGAGCCGCCTATGTTCAAGGTGCGCTACGTGGCTAGAGGCTTCAGTCAGCGCAAAGGGGGTGGACTTCTTTCAGACCTTCGCTCCGACCCCGAAGATGACTACTCTTCGGGCGCTGCTACACGTAGCAGCACAGCGTGACTAGGGGCTCCACTCTCTCGACTTCTCCTCTTCATTTCTTCAGGGCAGCCTACACGAGCAGGTCTACCTGCGCCATCCACAGGGCTTCACCGGTACCTTCCCTCCTGGGACCCAGTGACTCCTCCGGTGCCTGGTCTACAGCCTGCGACAGGCGCCCCGTGAGTGGCACGATACGATGCGTGCTACGCTAGCTGACATGCAGTTCTTTCCGTCCAATGCAGACCCCTCGCTCTTTATTCGTGCTGGCCAGACTCCGTTCTACATCCTTGTCTATGCAGACGACCTGGTCTTAGCTACTACAAACAGAGACGCACTGGCCTTCGTGAAGGCAGAGCTGCTGAGGAGACATACTTGCACTGACCTAGGAGAGCTGTGCCGCTACGTTGGCCTGTAGATCTCCAGAGACTGAGCATCGCGCACCATCACTCTCTCACAGTCACACTTGGTGCGCCAGGTCCTTTAGAGGTTCGGTCTTTAGTTCTCCTCCGCACAGCCTACACCTCTGCCAGTAGACCACATGCTCTCCGCTCCTGTTCCGAAGGAGTCAGTAGAGCCCAGTTGTCCTTACGTAGAGCTGGTGGGGTGCCTTGTGTACCTGATGAATTGCACTCGTCCAGATCTTGCATACCCTCTTAGCATTCTGGCTCACTTTCTAGCCACAGGCAGACACCAACCATAGCATTGGTCGGCCGATAAGAGGGTTCAACGTTATTTAGCAAGTACATTGGGCATGGGGCTAGTTCTAGGAGGACACATGTAGTGGTCCTTACAGGGCACACAGATGCTTCTTGGGCAAACGACACTCAGACAGGTAGGTCCTCCTTGGTCTACTGCTTTAGCCTTGGTGCAGGTGCCATCTCGTGGAGGTCCACCCGCTCGTCGTCTGCAGCCAAGTCTAGCTGTAAGGCTGAGATCTACGCCGGTGCCATGGCGGCACACGAGCTCCGCTGGCTGACTTTCTTCCTCACAGACTTAGGTGAGCGTCCTAGCTCTGCCCTAGTCCTGTACGCTGACAACAGGGCCATGATCCTCCTATGTCAAGAGCCTCGACTAGAGGGTAGAGCGAAGCACATTCTGCTGCGGTACTTCCTCCTACGCGAGTTGCAGCAGCGCCGCCAGGCCCGCGTAGTACACTTGGCCTCTGGTGCCAACAGAGCTGATATCTTTACTGAGGCGCTTGCGCCTAAAGATCATCAGCGGCACTGTGTACAGCTTGGTCTTGTTCCTGTAGCTTCTCACTTGCTAGGACCTTGATTGTGTACTCCTTTTATATTCTCTTGAATGGCCTTGTGGATCCTGTCCTAGTGGCTGGACTAGTAGTACCGCCCTGGGTTGTCCTTGTTTAGCTTGTACTCTTGCTGACTGGTCTTAGGACCCTTGCCTCAGAGGCTGGACTAGTGGTGCCACCCTGAGCTGTGTGTCTATTCCCAGGCACTGCCCCTTATCTGGCCTAAGGGGTGTGTCAAATATATGTGTATATGTTATAATAGGCTAGATAGGTGCATGCTCTTAGAGGGTACAACCACTTGGAAAAAATCAACATGTATGCCTCATTCTAATTATAACTTTTCTATTCTGAGAGGCTGTTCACTAGCGGAGTTCAACTGTGCCATCGAGAACTTCCAACGGCACATGTCACTCCACTTCCCCAACTTCAACCACTCACGATAGCAATATAAACTCATGGGCCTGCTATACAGATGATGTGACAATTTTCCTCAATTCCAATCACCTTTCATCATCGACCGGACTAAATGCTCCATCATCTCATTCACGTTCCCAGCAGCACAACTGGGTCAAACGCTCCATAACCGCTGCTGACTTAATTCCCATCGAGCCCCACATTGTCGCGAAATGCATTATCGGAATATGCATCGAACTAGGTGCACCCGGAACCAGAACGTGGAACAAAACTTTCACAAGAGTCTAGTCCACTAAGTGCCATATTGCTCGCCTCCGCTCCATCACCAGATGTCGAAAACGAAAAATCTTAACCCAATTCCATCCTTCCCTAGCCACTTCCAACCCTCGACTCGCGATAACCTCCTAGCTCACCACAGTCATCGGGAATTTTCCTCTCTTCCTCCCGGTTCAAATACCTTGGCCTGGCCACCGGTGGAATATGGGTCATCCAATTAGTTGCTCAACTTACCGCTCTCAACGCGCAACGCGCGCTCTGCCACTTCGTCCCCTCCCCTGCCAGGAATGTGGCACGATCATGCTCTCCGCTGTCCTATGGCCTACACAAGAAAATCCTCACGGCCCTACACAATGACCCCCCTCCCCGAGCACACACGAAACTTCGCGACGTCGTGGCGCTTTACCCCATCCTACTTATCACAGAAGCCAGGCTATGACATCTACTCCGACCCCTCGGCACATAATTCTGTAGTTTTTTTTACCCGGAGACTCTTCAAGAATTTCCCGCTGCCTTCTACCGCGGTGCCCAATGCATGATCTGCGAACTTCTCAACACGGTACCAACTGAGTGGTGGAGCACTTTGGCCCCCTCGGACGCCGTCACAACCCTCCAGTAACTTGGGGACTGGTTTAACCCCTCTTCCTCCAAAAACACCCCTTCGTCGACAAAGTCACCGAAATCCGCCCCCATTTCGCCATAACGGTTCGCCCGTATGTCGTAAACAGAGACCTCTACGTCACCACTGAGCCAGGTAACACATGCATCCTCCCCTCTTCGATGTTACTAGAATCTATGTGACGGGTCGCTAGTTTGAAGGCTACTTCTTCGAATGAGTAGGGTTTGGTGCACGTATAGCGCTTCTGCAGGACGGGGAGCCGTCACTTGCCGACGTACGCCGCCGTCTCTATATGCAATAACCGCCCACACATCGTGCGTTTTGCACCCCTCCCCTCCCCGTCTCCCTCCCCCCCCCTCCCCTGCCCTTAAGGACCAAACCAGCCTCCACTTCAGATTCTACACCCGCTCCCTTGCATAAAGTGCCCGACTCAACTTCGGCGCCGACAGAGACTCCTGTACGCGATGCCACGTATGCGTCACCTAGGCGTTTTCACATATCCTGTTGTAGTGCAGAATCGTTAGACCCATGACTTCGGCCCTCCAGCGGATGGGCTTCCGCCACCTCGATATTCGGATATCCCCAACACAATCCCTTTTCCCTTTCCACAGTAGGGCCCGGCAATCAGTACCATGGAGCCTCCTGGTAGGTGCAGCCGCCAACACCATCTGGAATGCCTGGTGTAATCACAAGTTCAATAAGATCACAGTCCACATGATCGAAGGCCTCCGAGTTGTCCTCGCCGCCTTCCCGTTCTCTGGCAAATCTTCATTTGGCGCTACACCACACAAGCCAAGAAAAAGCAACTCTGATCCGCCCATCGATTTAAACACACCAAATAGCTCCGCTTCCTCCTCTTGACGAAGCCTTCCCTTCAATCCACCCCAATCTACTTCAGTCTTGGCTCCTAAATGACGCCTTCCGAAACCCCTAACTTCCCCCCCACCATCCGTCACACACAAGTCAGAGCAGAACGGATGGCACTCTCTCGTCTCCGCTATACCTTTGTTGAGAAGGATAACGCGTGTCCACGTGCTCCCTTTAGGGTGCTGGCTTTTAGCCGTTCCTTTTTCTGCTTTATTTGTACCAATTAAGACTGAACCATAACCTTAAATCCCAAGTCTAAAATTGCGTAGGCAAATTTCGGACCCGTATTCCTAGTGGGGATCTCGGACGGAAGGCGTGAGTGACTGCTACTTTGCCTATTAAACTGCTTACGTTATTAGGTTGTTTCAGGGGCTGCAGCCCGTTGGGCGTGAGCACCATGCGTGCTCGTGCATGGCGCGCTGACGCGCGAGTCCGTCGAGGTCCGTCCAAATGCAAGGTGGGGGTCCACTTGAATATGCTAGGGAGGAGCTGGTCGCCATCGTGGTCGTTGGGCTAGGTTCAGCGACGATGGAGGTTAGTCATGCAGACATCTTTGGGTGTCGCCGAGACAGTGCAAGTGCCGTGCATCAATGACTGTTCTCGTTCCTTCTCACATCAGGTTTTGAGTGTGTTCATATTCTATTCAGAGCCAAAAGCTGGATTTTTTTTTCTGCCAGTGAAAAATATACAAGTTTCAAGTGAGCCCCAGCTTTGTGTTTTTAGTCAAGGGCTTTAATCTCTTTGCCAATTACTCTACCATACGACGGGCCCAACGAAAGTCGCAACAAAGTTACAGTCCGCGAAAGATGTCGCCCACCGTTCCCCCCACTTCCCTCCCCATTTGCTTCACTTCACCCGTCCATCATCCCTCGTTGCTGCTCCGCTTGTTTCTCCCCACCACGCCGCTTGACCCTTGGGAATTTGCTGATTCCTGTTTCTGCTTGACTTTCTCGCGAGAGCTGAATGGTTAGGTGAAGTGAACCGGTAAGCCAGCTTGTGCCGCGGTTGTGTCAAACCAGTGCTTGCTGGAAGGCCGAACGCCTCTCGTTGATCGAAGACATCGGTGCTTCGCTTCGCGTTACTCTTCGAGCTAGAGGCTCGCGTGCCTGCTTCTCTAGGCCGTAATGGTTAGTTACTAACCCTATCTAAACCTCCAGTAATCCTAAACTTACTCTAGTTGGTGATTCCCAGCGCCATTTCAGGCGTAAAGCGTTACTTATCAACCCTTATCCGCCTTTGCAGTTCCGTATCTAGCTGCGACCGTTGTTTCTCATCTTTCCTGTCGTTTTGCTCGTTGTCGCAGGGTCGGAAATTCCTATGCCTCCTGCTGATCGCGATTCTCGTCGCGGCGAGTTTCCACGTGTCCGAATGCAAGAAGAAGAAGAAGAAGCGTACCGTGGCGATGGACGCAGCACTTGGCGAAAGCGAAACCGCCACAGCGGTAACCCGATCTGTGGCGAAAAAGGCAGCTGACGAAGGAGCAGCATCGGAGAATGACGAACCAGCTGCAGACGCGGCTGCTGCGGACGAAGAGGTAGACGCTTCTGCGGAAACAATATCTCCGAAGAAAAGAACTGTCAGTGGGGGGGCTACTAAGGCTGTAGCTGCTGACGCGGCAGCTGCTGACGCGGCAGCGGCGGACGAAGACGCGGAAGTCGCGGAAGCCGCTTCTGCAGCTGATGCTGACGTGGCGACGAAGGGCGAGGACGGCGAGGGAAAAGCGGCTGACAGTGACCCCGCCGCCGCAGATGCCGCCGAGTCCGACGCCGACGCTGACGCCGTGGATGCCGCGGCGGATTCCGCCGCGAAGGACGGCGCAGCGGCGAAGGCGGCGACGGCGAACACGGCCGCAGATGCTGCTGCTGAAGCGAGCGCAGATCCTGGCTCTGATGCGGCTGCGGATGCGGCTGCCAAGGAGAAGCCGAGCTCGGCTGCTGGGTCCGTGTCAGACGCGGGCCCGCTCGCGTGGCGATCTGCGAACATGTCGCGAGAGGACGTGGACCCGAAAGGTGAGATGGGGGGGATTGACGATCTGAGGCTTATGTGTCTGACGCTGGTGGCACTGGTGACGCTGGTGGTGCTGGTGGCGCTGGTGACGCTGGTGACGCTGGTGGCGCTGGTGGCGCTGGTGGCGCTGGTGGCGCTGGTGACGCTGGTGGCGCTGGTGGCGCTGGTGGCGCTGGTGGCGCTGGTGGCGCTGGTGACGCTGGTGGCGCTGGTGGCGCTGGTGACGCTGGTGACGCTGGTGGCGCTGGTGGCGCTGGTGGCGCTGGTGACGCTGGTGGCGCTGGTGGCGCTGGTGACGCTGGTGACGCTGGTGGCGCTGGTGGCGCTGGTCTTCTCGCGTGGAGATCCGCTGACATGCCGCGAGGAAATAAAACGGGGATTCTAAATATGAGAGGGCGTGGACCCTGAAGGTGACCCCGGTTGGTTGGATCAACTTGTGCCCTCATCTTGCGAGATGGCGTTGAATGAACTTACCAGTGCGAGAGGGGCGGGCGGGCGACTACTCTCGCACGCACAGGGTTGATCCTTATAAGTCGAAGCGTCATTAGGGTTCTCAGCTCCTCGCAAGGGTCTCAGATCGGATCGCATTCTCCTCTTTCTTAACCTGGCTCTAGGTTGACTATTCGCGAAATCGTTCTACTACGTGTCGATTGAAGCTGCAGGCCGCCTTAATACCCCGGCGGCGTCTTGAGGAATAGTTTGTCTGCGTTGCGAGTCCCACCCAGGTGCAGGCGGGGCGTCACAGTGCACGCACTGGTGCTTGCAGTGCAGGTGGATATCACAGTGCACGCACTGGTGCGTGCAGTGCAGGCGGATATCACAGTGCACGCACTGGTGCGTGCAGTGCAGGCGGATATCACAGTGCACGCACTGGTGCGTGCAGTGCAGGCGGATATCACAGTGCACGCACTGGTGCGTGCAATGCAGTGCAGGTGGGGCATCAAGGTGCACTGCCAGCCAGAGCGTGGAGCGGGGCAAGGGGATCTCGCGGTGTGCTTTGAGACGTCTCAAAACGTCACGAATGCGTGCAACTCCCGTGTTTCAAAATCCTTCTTTCTCAGGGCCGTGCCGGGAGACATCACAAACCCCACGTGTATAGCCTGTTCCCCCCACCTCCTCCAGGCCCGTGCAGGCACCACATTAAGCTGCGCTGCCAGGGTGTGGAGCCTGGTAACGCGGACCGAGGCTGGTGCTGCTGAGGCGTCACAAACCCTACGTGTTTAACCGATTCCCCGACCTCGTGCAGGCCCGTGCCGGCGCGACATCAAGCTGCACTGCCAGGGCGTGGAGCCGGGGAACGCCGTGCTCTCGCTCTGCCTCACCTTCCACATCAAGAACGAGAACTCGGGCAACGAGCTCGGCGGTACGTTGTGGCAGCTCACTGGGTGGGTGGTGCGTTGTGTCAGGTCACAGGTGCGAGGTGGTCCGACGGGGCAATGCCATTCTAGCTCTCTCCCTCTGCCGCATCTTCCACATCAAGAGCGAGAACTCGGGCAACGAGCTCTGCAGTACGTCCTGAGAGGTGGCAGGTGGCGATATGGGAAGACGTGGCAATTCACAGACAGAGTAACCCTCAAAGCAACCCACTGAGTAACCCATTGACTGAGTAACACACGGAGTCGCCCATTGACTGAGTAACACACGGAGTCGCCCATTGACTGAGTAACACACGGAGTCGCCCATTGACTGAGTAACACACGGAGTCGCCCATTGACTGAGTAACACACGGAGTCGCCCATTGACTGAGTAACACACGGAGTCGCCCATTGACTGAGTAACACACGGAGTCGCCCATTGACTGAGTAACACACGGAGTCGCCCATTGACTGAGTAACACACGGAGTCGCCCATTGACTGAGTAACACACGGAGTCGCCCATTGACTGAGTAACACACGGAGTCGCCCATTGACTGAGTAACCCACGGAGTCGCCCATTGACTGAGTAACCCACGGAGTCGCCCATTGACTGAGTAACACACGGAGTCGCCCATTGACTGAGTAACACACGGAGTCGCCCATTGACTGAGTAACCCACGGAGTCGCCCATTGACTGAGTAACCCACGGAGTCGCCCATTGACTGAGTAACCCACGGAGTCGCCCATTGACTGAGTAACCCACGGAGTCGCCCATTGACTGAGTAACCCACGGAGTCGCCCATTGACTGAGTAACCCACGGAGTCGCCCATTGACTGAGTAACCCACGGAGTCGCCCATTGACTGAGTAACACACGGAGTCGCCCATTGACTGAGTAACCCACGGAGTCGCCCATTGACTGAGTAACCCACGGAGTCGCCCATTGACTGAGTAACCCACGGAGTCGCCCATTGACTGAGTAACCCACGGAGTCGCCCATTGACTGAGTAACACACGGAGTCGCCCATTGACTGAGTAACACACGGAGTCGCCCATTGACTGAGTAACACACGGAGTCGCCCATTGACTGAGTAACACACGGAGTCGCCCATTGACTGAGTAACCCACGGAGTCGCCCATTGACTGAGTAACACACGGAGTCGCCCATTGACTGAGTAACACACGGAGTCGCCCATTGACTGAGTAACACACTGAGTAAACCACTGTCCGATGTCTGTCTGATAAGGAGTTTCGGGGTCCTGAAATTACGGAGTCGCCGCTGCTAGAGAATGATTCATCTCGCACCAGAGTCGCTGCGGCAAGCCACACATACCGCATGCACGCACCACACGTACCACATGCACCACACGCACGTACCACACGTACCACACGAATCACACACATACGTACCACACTTACCACCCTTACCACACACACACACGTACCACATGTACCAGACGTACCACTGGCACGTACCACGCGCACGTACCACAGGTACCACACATACCACACGCACCGCGCGTCCTCCACATCAGAGTGCCCGAACGATCTGACTCACCTCGTTGCTTCGATTGGCCAATCTTTGCTTCCTTGCATCGCCTGCACTATCACTGCAAGGCCAAACCCAAGGTCCGTCCAGTCCAGCTCAGCCGTGGACAAAATCTTTGCTTCCATCTGTGGTGTGGTTTGCCCGCCCACTGCAGGGCCCAAGATCTCCAAGAAGTGCAAGAAGGACATCCGAGCCTTCAGGGCGGAGATGTACAAGGACCTCGCCATGGACAAGGCTCTGGGTGAGTTCCTACACCGTGTAGTGGTTGTATTGAGTCGCCTTGTAACGCGTTCAAGGCGGAGATGTACAAGGACCTCGCCATGGACAGGGCGCTGAGTGAGTTCTATACCTTGTAGTGACCATCTCTTCCTTGCTTTGAGTCGCCTTATAACGCGTTCGCGTTCAGGGCGGAGATGTACAAGGACCTCGCTATGGACAAGGCTCTGGGTGAGTTTTTATAGGCGATACCTTGTGTAGTGGTGCTCGTCTTAGCGCGTTCAGAGCGGAGATGTACAAGGATAAGGATCATTTCAGGTGACCTCGCCATGGATAAGGCGCTGGGTGAGTGCCTTTCCCTGAACGCGAGGATCCTTGCAGAGTGGGCGACCTTGCTTGCAGTGGGCGATGGCTTTACAGGGGTCTAGGGCTCCTGATGGGTTCCTCTGCTCTGCGTGTATCCAGTGGGGCCCCTCAAAACGCGTTGAGGTGAGGAGGCAGTGGGGTTCAAGAACCACGCGATGCGCCGATGCGCCCGGGCGGGCTTGATGGAGTAGACATGCGCATTTAATTAAATCGCCCCCCAATGCGATGCGATTTAAATCGCTATCGCATTTTGCCCATGTCTATGATGGAGTTGCCGGCTTCGCCACTCTTACTCACTTCCGCTCCACGTTTTTTCCACCTGTCTTTTTCTCCCAGTTGTATGCCAGCCACAGCGTGCATGCAGGGCGGATGTCACCAAGCTCTGTGGCAATGTCTTCCTCTACCTCTGTGTTGTACAACCATGTCTTATTCGCGTCTTTGCACTTTTCTCTCGTCTTCTCTCCTCGTCTGCCCACTTTCTGCCATCCCATGTGTCCGCCAGCCACGGCATGCAAGGCGGATATCACCAAGTTCTGTGACGATGACTTCCTCTACCCCGAGCCTGGCAACATCGTTGCATGCCTCAGGTGAGCTCTTCCTGCTTATTGTTGCACTCATGCTCCCCTGCGCCTTCCCCCCCTCCTCCCGCCCCCTCCCTCCGCCCCGTTCACCTAGCTCAAACCTTTCCACACCTGACCCGGTTCCCCTTCCGGAATCCGGCTCCATCCAATCCAACACACACCGACACGCATTCTCCGAGCCACAGGGAGGGAGGTGATCCGGGTGGAGAGCTGGTAGACGCGTGCTGCACGGAGATTCTTGGACGTCTCATACAACAACTACCATCCCCTTCTCCTCCCCCTTCCCTCTTCCTCCGCCCCCCCCCCCCCCCCCGCCCCCTCCGTTCCCCTCCTTACTCGCTCCCCTCACAGGGAGGTGAGCCAGGTGGAGAAGATGGCGGGCGCGTGCCGCACGGAGATCCTTGGATGTTTGATTGACACAACAACGACCATCCCCCCTGTTCCCCTCTCCCCCGGTCCCCCCACCCAACCCCCCCGGCCCTTCTCTTCCCTCTGACAGGGAGGTGATCCAGGTGGAGAAGATGGCGGACGTGTGCCGCACGGAGATACTTGGACGTCTGATACAGCAGCTATCCCTCCCAAACTCCCCCCCCCCCCACCCACCCCCCCTGCCCCCCCTCTCTCTCTCCCCTCTGACAGGGAGGTGAACCAGTTGGAGAAGATGGCGGGCGCGTGCCGCACGGAGTTCCTTCGATGGCTGATACAACAGCTACCCCCCCCAACCCCCGGCCCTTGTCTCCCCTCTGACAGGGAGGTGAACCAGGTGGAGAAGATGGCAGATGCGTGCCGCACGGAGATCCTGCGCGCGCAGCTGGACGCGGCGGAGGACTTCAAGATGGACCCGCAGCTCAACGACCTCTGCAGCGCCGAGGCCGACCGGCTCTGCCAGGGGGTGGAGCCTGGGGAAGGGCGTATCCAGGAGTGCCTGGTAGGTGGATGGTTTTATTTTGCAATCTTGGTAGGGATGCGGAATGGGTAGTTGTTGAGGTAGGTGTGGTTGACCCCAAAGCACCCTTCCTTCCCCGTGCCTTGCAGAGGGAGCACCACGCCAAGATGGCCTGGGACAGCCAGGCGGAGCTTTTTTGGCACAGCGCCGAGGCTGACAGGCTGTGCCAGGAGGTGGAGAAGGCAGCAGACGACATCCGCGTCATCATGCTCAACGTGCCTTGAGGCTTGAGGCCCGTCGCACCCCTTTCTCGGCCTCTCCCCCCCCTCCCTCCCCCCCAGTTATACGGCAGAGGGAGCACCGCGCCAAGCTCGCCTGGGAGTGCCAGGCGGAGCGGAGCTGTTCGGCTAGGAGGTGGAGTACGCGGATGCCATCCGCTCCGCCTCAACGTGCTTCGAGTCGCCTCATACTCCTCCTTTCGCCCCTCCTCCCACCCACCCTCCTTCCGTCTTTGCCTCTCCTCTCTCTCATTTCTCAGCGAGAGCACCGCAGCAAGCTGGCTGGCATGGGACTGCCAGGCGGAGCTGTTTCGCCAGGAGGTGGAGAACGCGGCCGACGTCCACCTCAACGTGCCTTGAGCCGTCCTTAAGCCCACTTGGAACCCCCCACCTCCCCGCCCCGTCATGCCCCCCTCCCCCCCTTTCCCCCCCTTTCCCCCCCTTCGCCCTGCCCTCTCCTCCCCTCGCTTCCCCACTCGCCCTCCCCCGTCCCCCTTAAAATACAGAAGGAGCACCGTGGCAAGCTGGCATGGGGCTGCCAGGCGGAGCTGTTCCGCCAGGAGGTGGAGAACGCAGACGACATCCGCCTCAACGTGCTTCGAGCTCTCCTCCCTCCCCTCTCCCTTCTCTGTCCATCTTCGCCCACAAACAGAGGGAGCACCGCGGCAAGCTCGCGTGGGAGTGCCAGGCGGAGCTGTTCCGGCAGGAGGTGGAGAATGCGGACGACATCCGCCTCAACGTGCGCCTCTTCCAGGCGTGCCTCAACGACCAGCGCCGCTTCTGCGCCGACGTCAAGTACGGGGATGCGCGCGTGAAGGACTGCCTGGAGGACCACCACCTCGATGCCGAGTTCTCCCCCTCCTGGTCAGTGCCTGCTGCCCCTTGGAGCTCCCTCTTCCATACTACGTGCACCAATGACCGTAGAAACGTGAAGTCAAGTATGGGGATGCAAGAGTTGAGGACTGAATGGCTTTAAGTGTCGAAACCCGCCACCTGGACCACGAGTTCCCACCCTCCTGGTCAGGCCTGTGCCTCTGCTTGCTGCCCCTTACTTCTCAATGGTGGTTTCCACACACGTGCTGCTGGGATGCCCGTGTCAAGGACTGGCTCGAGGACCACCGGCTTGATTCTGAGTTCTCCCCCCTCCTGCTCACCGCCTGCCAGTGCTTCCTGCTCCGTGTGTTCTTGAGTGAGCTCTCTTTGTACCCCGTTGCCCTCTCCGCCCCCTACCTGCTCCCCCCCCCACCACCTTCGTCCCTTCCTCTGGCAGCAAGGCAGAGTTTGAAAAGATGATGGCGCTGCGGGCCACTGACTTGCCGCTATCCCCTCTGTATCCCCCCTCCCTCTCTTCTCCCTTACCACCCACCCCCCCTCCCTCCCTCCCCCCCTCTTGCTGTGCCTGGCAGCAAGACGGAGTTTGAGAAGATGATGGCGCGGCGGGCCACTGACTTCCGCCTCGACTCCACCCTGCGCAAATACTGCAAGGCGGACATTGCAGAGGTGAGAGGCAGAGACATCGCAGAGGTGAGAGATGAAGATGTATTGCGGAGGTGAGACAAGTGCAGCAAATAGTGCAAGGCGGGCATTGCAGAGGCGAGTGGGAAGCATTGAAGTAAAACACTGCCGAGATGTGTGCTGCTAGTGCTGCAAGGGCGACACAACAGAGGTGAGGGCGATTGAAAGATGCAGGGCATCACATGGCCGAACCAATGCGGGTGCAGCAAATGCTGCACTGGCAACATTGCAGAGGTGTGTTGTGTGCTGTGGGAAGGGAAGGGAAGGGAAGGGAAGGGAAGGGAAGGGAGGGTAAGGGAAGGAAAGGGAATGATAGACATGAAGCTCTGCTTAGCCGCGTGACGCATTGCAGAGTGGCGCCAACGAGAATGAGGAACATGTGAACAGCTTCACGTAGAGGTAGGTGGTGGTGGAGCGAGTAGTGCCAGGTGGTATAAGGTTTGTTTTGAGACGTCTCAACACAAACTTTATATCACGTGGCTTCATGTAGAGGTAGGTGGTGGAGCGAATAGTGCCAGGTGGAAACAGCAGAGGTTTTCTGAGGACTGTTAGGAACAGCTTATCACTGAAAGGTAATGCAAGTGTGTGCAGTGCAGGATTGGTCAGACCAACTCAAGAACCCCAAGTGTTTTGATCTGCCTAAGGAAAGGGCACGCACCCTTCTCTCTCCCCCGCCCCCCCACTTTGTCTGTGCACCTCGTATCCGGTACCCGGATGCGAAGGACATCTCACACGTGGCGTGGTGCCAAGGTGATCGAGTCTCTGTAGGACCTCAGTGAGGAACGAGCTTCCCTTAAAGACCCCAGTCACTCCCTGAGCCCTTCAGGACACTTTCTTCCCTCCCTCTTTTCTCCCCCTTTCCTCCCCTTTCCTCCCCTTTCCTCCCCTTCCTCCCCTTTCCTCCCCTTTTCTCCCATTTCCCTCTGCTGGATGCGCTGCAGATCTGCTACCCTGATGCGGAGGACATTTCAGACGTGGCGAACTTCGATGCCAAGGTGATCGAGTGTCTGCAGGACTACAGGGACGAGCTCAAGGACCCCAAGTGCAAGGCCTCCGTGCACCGCCTCACGCAGAGGGCTGCGGAGGACATTCGCTTCGACCGACCCCTGGCTGACGCCTGCCATGGTGCGTGCAACTGTGTGTGAGAGACCGTGGGGGGTAGTGGGTTGGGTGCAGTGCAGTGGGGTGGGGTGGGGGGGGGGGGGGGAGGGGAGTGTCTGCAGGACTGCAGGGACGAGCTGAAGGGCCCCAAGCCAAGTGCAAGGTTGCCGCGCACCGCCTGACACAGCGGACTGCTGTCCACATCCACTTCAACTGCCCCCAGGCTGACGCCTGCCATGGTAATGCTCTTAATCATTTCTTAGCCGCGTCAACCGTGGTAAGTGACCCCCTCATTAAGACAAGGACCCACCCAACCCAAGTGCAAGGCCTCAGTGCACCGCACGGCGCAGCGAGACACTCAACACATCCGCTTTGACCACCCCTCGGCTCATGCCTGCCATGGTGCGCGCAGGGTTGGCTGTGGGGATCTAGAGGCGCTAGGGGGTTTGTGGCAGGACTCTCCCCCCCCCCCCCCTCCTCCCCCCTCGCCCTGTCTTCCTCACCCTCCGAGGACCGCACCGCCATCTGCAGGGACGTGCCAGACGGCATGGCGCAGGTGTTCCCGTGCCTGCAGGACAACATGCTCAGACCTATTTGCTTCTCCCCTCTTGCCCACGGTCCCTGCCCCACCCTCCTCCACCCTCACCCCCCCTTCTCCCCTTGCAGAGGACCGCACCACCATCTGCAGGGACGTGCCAGACGGCATGGCGCAGGTGTTCCTGTGCCTGCAGGACAACATGGGCAAGCTCAAGGAGTCGTGCCGCACGGCTCTTTTTGAACAGGTGGGCCTGATTGACTATTACCATACCACTGTTTCGGGGGGGGTATAGCAGTAAGTGCTTGGAAGGCAGGCAGGTGTTCCTTTCATGTTTTTCCGAGGACCGACCGATGTTGATTGTTCTCCAAGCCACACCCCCGGGCCCGTCCATTTCACAGGTTTTCAGGTTGACTTTTGAGTCGACTTAAAAGGCACCTCTGTTTGCGGGGGGGGTATTGCAGTAAGAGTTTGGATTGAAAGGCAGGTGTTCCTTCAGGCAGGTGTTCCTTTCAGGGTTTTTCCATAGACCGACCGGCGTTGATTGCTCTCTCAGCCACACCCTTGTCTTGTCCATTTCACAGCCCAATGGTTGTGTTGCGAGGTACGTCCAAGGCCACAGTCCAAGCAGTTCAAGGGTATGACTGCTGGTTGGGTTTGCTTTTGAGTCGATGCAAAAGCAGGCTTGGATTGTTCTCCAAGCTGCACCCCACCATTTGAAGCCCACAGTCCAAGTAGGTCAAGGGTAGGACTGCTGGTTGGGTTGGGTTGTTTTGCTGTTTGGTTGCGAGGTGCTACTCTTAGCGAGGCTCGGACAGATGAGGCAGCTTTGAGGGATTTGGTAGCCGGCTTTAAGCGCCTTGTTTCCCCCCTCGTGTCCCAACGCTAGCAGCTCGTGCGCATGGCGGAGGACATCAGCTTCAACTAGGCTTGAGCATAAACCCGACCCGACCCGACCCGACCTGACCCGACTTTGCCCTACCCTACATGGCGGAGGACATCGACTTCAAGTTCCCCATCAAGCGAGCTTGCTCCTCCGAACTCCTCCGAACTCCCCCCCAAACCCCCCCCACCCCACACCGCCCCCCTCTGTCCGCTCCACCTAACAGCTCGTGCGCATGGCTGAGGACATCGATTTCAAGTTCCCTATGAAGCGAGCTTGCTCTTCCGAACTCCAGAAGTTTTGCAAAGACATCCCGCATGGTAGGGGGCTGTCACCTGATATGGTGGTGCTGGCATGAAGGAGCCAGTGACTGATGGTGGGAGAGAGCGAGCAAAGGTACTCGATGGGGGTGGGAAGACATCGTATGCTAGTGCTGGCATGGCATGTGGTGGTATGATATGGTGGGGTTAGTGATTGGTGGGTGGTAGCATGGAGATGCACTCCGCGTGGTCTGGTTTTGCTGCTGCTGGTGTGGTGACTGTCGTAGTCTGCTGGTAGCACGGATTTTGTTGACAAGCAGGCAGCATTGACGGCGGGCTGACTTTTGAATGGTTGACATCAACAGGTTGACTTGACGTTGACTGGTTGTAATCAACGGGTGGACACTTACTGGTTGACATTGACGTATTTACGTGAATGGCTCATATTTGTTTTGCTTCGTGTATCCGCCTCGAAAATGAATGGTGTGAGCACAAGGAAATGGCCATTGGTTTGGGAGAGAGAGCATTATGAGCGAGAGGGAGAACCTAGACAGCTCAGACATGGGCGAGGAGTGCAGAGAGGAGGTCACGAGATAAATGAATCCTGTCCCCTCCCAACCCCCCTTCTCCTGCCCCCTTTCCTCCCCTGCAGGCCATGCGGCGCGCGTCAAGTGCTTGCAGGAGAACATTGACAGCTCGGACATGGGCGAGGAGTGCAGGAAGGAGGTCAAGCGAGACATGGCTCGATCCGCTGGAGGTGCGTGTTTCTTCCATCTTTTGTTGTTAGTTCCATCTTTTGGTGTTTCTTCCATCTTTTGTGTTTTCTTCCATCTTTTGTTGCTTCTTCCATCTTTTGTTGCTTCTTCTCCGCTTTTTGCTTTGTTTGTAGCATAGCTTGGTCTGTTGGCTTGTGACGGCAAGAAGCTTTTCCACTATCCTCCGCCATCGTCTTCTCCTAGTACCTCCACCCGGGTTGCAGAGCTTCTGACTCAAAAAGGCCCCTCTTTTTCCCCCTCCGCACATCACGTCCGTCCCCTCCCCTCTCCCCTTTCCCCTCCCCTCTCCCCTCTCTCTCCCCTTGCTCGCCCTCCTCCCTTTCCCTCCTCCCTTTCCCTCCTCCCTTTCCCTCCTCCCTTTTCCTCCTCCCTTTCCCTCCTCCCTTTCCCTCCTCCCTTTCCCTCCTCCCTTTCCCTCCTCCCTTTCCCTCCTCCCTTTCCCTCCTCCCTTTCCCTCCTCCCTTTCCCTCCTTCCTTTCCCCCCTCAGATTATCGTTTGAACTACCGTCTGCACCGCGCTTGCCTGCCCGAGATCCAGAAGCACTGCAGCCACGCGTGCGATGCAGCCAGTGTGAACGGCTCCGTCACCTGCGCCGGCACCGTGGTCAAGTGCCTGCAGGAGCAGCAGGATCAGATCGAATCCGAATCCTGCAAGCAGGAGATCACCGCCTTCAGCATCCTAGAGGCGAAGGACCCGCTGTCCCTCGACGTGCCGCTGCAAGCAGCGTGCAAGGGGGACCTGGGGGCGCTGTGCCCGGACGTGGGGAGGGACCATGGGAGGAGCCTGACGTGCCTGAGGAGCAAGAGGGACAAGCTGAGCGCGGCGTGCAAGAAGGAGGAGATGCGGTTCAGCGTGATGGAGGCTTCGGACATCCGCATCACCCCCAGCCTCATGAATGGCTGCGGGCAAGGTGGGGGCTTCAAGTGTATGGAGGTACCTATCTACGTAGCCTTGTAGGTACCTATCAAGTGTATGTGTATGTAGGTCATTTTTTAGAATTCTAAAAAATTGCTCCACTGTAGGTACCTATCTACGTAGCCACGCGGGCTGTTAAGCGCGGGGTGAGTCAGGCGTGCACGAGCGTGCAGGTAAGGTACAGTCAGATCCCTCGTAGTAAAATGCTGTGCTTGGGCTCGGTTTTCGATGACTTTCTCGCTTGTCCTAAACTTCGTTACCCTCCGTTGTTCACACGGTGCCCGATCCCTTGCCCATTCTGCAAGGCAGCTGTTTCTTGCCTTGCCGTCTGCCCAACAGAGGGACACACATTCAAGTGCTTGCAGCAGCACCTGAAGGCCGTAGGCATGCCTCTTAAAGCCCACGGCCGAAATTGCAAGCCCAAGGCTTCAAACGCACTGCGTTTGAAAGAGGCAGTGAGAGGGGTTACTAGAACTGGTGTGTCTTGTTTGCGACCTGTGAAAGTCCCTCGACAAACACTGAAGTTGAAACAGTCTGCATTTTGGGACTCGGCAAACACACAACACGTCTCCGATTTCGACGGTCGAGATTTGCCGAGCTCGGATATTCAACTCGATTCCGACTGAACGCCGTCAAAACGTTCAGCTTTTTGGATTTGGGCTGTCGGATTGGTCTCACGTCAATCGGGTGTCCCAAAGTGAGACTGTTTTACTGAACCTGTTTCCGCAGCCAGAACGCGATTGATTCCTCACCCAAAACAAATGCTTGTGATTGGCTGCCAGCAACCACCCCTCTAGTTACGACAATGAGATTTCGTGGCTTTGCGATATTTTCTCAGGCTTCATATGAACTCACTGCTCACGTTCAAACGCACTGCATATGAACAGCTTGGGCTGCGGGCTGTAGTTTCAACACAACTCCCTCCCTGACTCCCCCTCCGTCTCCCACACCAGAGCTGCAGAGTTTCTGCGGCAGCAGCACCTGGGGAGTTGTGGGCATATGTCTATATCCCTTCTCCCCGCTCCCTTCCCCCCTGTATTCGGTTTAACAGAACGCCAGAGCTTCTGCAGGGACGTCCCTCCCACGGAGGGCCATGCGTTCAAATGTCTGCAGCAGCATCTGCAGGATGTGGGCATGTGCCTTTATCCCTTCTCCCATCTCCCTTCTCACCTCTCCCTCCCCCTGGTATTTGGCTAAGAGAATTGCGGAGTGTATGCCTCCCACTAAAGGCCATGCGTTGGAAGTGCCTGCAGCGCAGCAGCACCTTGAGGCTGTGAGCATGGGGGCGGCATGCAAGGGCGAGTTGACCTTATCCAAATCCCACTCACCAACCGCGCTTGCCCTGTGTTCGCACCCATATCATCCCACAGAGCTCCAGAGCTTCTGCCGTGATGTGCCCCCAACCGAGGGCCATGCGTTCAAGTGCCTGCAGGAGCACCTGGGCGATGTGGGCATGGGGGCGGCGTGCAAGGGCGAGGTGAATCTGCAGGAGGCGCGGCAGGCGGGGAACTACCGGCTGGACGTGCGGATGAGGAAGGAGTGCGAGGGGGACGTGAAGCAGCACTGCGACGGAGCGGATGAGGGCAAGGAGGGGCATGCGGTGGTGCTCAAATGCATGGTCGACAACTTCAAGAGCCTTGCGCCCACGTGCCAGAGCGAGGTGGGTGTTTTTCTCAATTGCTTGCTGCTGTAGCTGGGCTGGGTTGGGAGGATATGGACTCGTGGTGCTCAAATGCATGGTCGACAACTTCAAGAGCCTCGTGCCCACGTGCCAGAGCGAGGTGGGTGGGTGGTTGTTATTCGCACATCCTCCACATGCTGCTGCAGTGATATGGATGGTTGCTCTCACCTGTGGTTTTTCTAACGTGTGGTGGTTGGTGGCTCTCTCTCCTTGTTGCTGCCTTCGTTTCTCTCCCCCTCTCCCCCCAACCCCACCCCACCCCACCCCACCAGGTGGCCTATGTGGTGCGCATGGCTCTCTTCCAATACCACCACGGCGCCGAGCTCACAGCCCCGTGCGACGCAGCAGTGGACGAGGTCTGCACCAGCACGGGCAGCGCCAAGCCCAAGGAGATCAACGGCGCGGTGATCGGGGTGTATGGGCAGTGCCTGCTGTCCGCCAAGCCCGATAAGCTATCGGAGGACTGCCGCGGGCTCGTGAAGGTGGCAGCTAAGGAAGGTGCCCACCTGGCAGGCGGGCTGGACCAGGCGAAGCTGGACGAGGCCCTGGCGAAGCTCAAGGAGGTGAGAGAGTGGGAGTAGTGAGGGGGGCTGGTGGCCTGGTGAAGGTGGCTGCTAGGGAAGGTGGCTACCTGGCAGGCAGGCGGGCTGGACCAGGCAAAGCTGGACGCGCTGGCGAAGCTCAAGGAGGTGAGGGGGGCTGGAGATGGGAGGGAGAGACGTGTTGAGGTTATGTGACTAGTGATTGATGGCTCTAGTGCCAACGGGCTGGTGGAGGTGGCACCTAAGGAGGGTGGCTGCCTGACGGGTGGGCCGGACCAAGGTAAGGAGGTGAGTAAATTGGACCAGGGTGAGGGGGAGGGCATGCTGCCATATGCATGTAGCATTCTGCCTACATTACTGGTCATCAGGTTCCTGCTGGCACAACCTCATGCGGGGTATTTTTTTTTATCTTTTTCCAATGAATTGTTTCCTGCTGTATTGCTCCTTTTCACCACCAGCTTCCTGCGGGAGCAGCAGCGGACGGGTCGGCTCGCAAGTCCACGCTGGTGATTTCGGGCTGGCTGGCATTCGCAGCTCTGTTGGCGGTTGTCGTGGTCGCTGTTGCAGCGGGCTTTGGCATTTACCACAAGTACTTCAGCCCGACTCGCAACTACACCTTGGTCGTCAAATCAGCTCCCCCGGGCACAGTTTAGCTCGTTTCGCTTTTGTCAAAGATGTGCTGTGCAAGTGATGTTCGTGGGGCTTGTAACTGTGTTCGTTCCCCTAATGTAAATTATTGTAGGGCGCATTGTGGTTCTAGGCTATTCTGATGAAGTTACGTTTAGGCTGACAAATGTGGGGGTATGTTCTATACGCGGATACTGAAGATGGATGTTGAAGTAACTATTTGCCTTCAACTAAGGATGGCTGTTCTGTACGTTCTTAGCGAGTATATCGCAGCTTGAACCTTGAGCGGTCCGTCAACATTCGTCCGGGAGATAGCGGGATGAACGGGCGAAGCTGTTTTGACGAGCCTCGCCGAACTCGGCGCTTATTGCAAATGCGTACGGAGAGGACGAATGAGCTTCGGGCATTTCAAACGCGAATGCCCATTTCAACAACCAGGGGCAAGCGGGATACCATCCACAGCCCACTCTTCGCCCCTTGAAATTCCGAGGCAACTCTCCTCCGCGGGCAGCAATAATATGTCCCCGCTCACGCGGGCAACAATAATTTTCTCCCCAACCCTACAACAAAGGCTGCCTTTTCCGCTCGCACCGACAATTCACCCTGAGGCCATCGCAAACAGCGGAACAGCAGACGAATCTCCATTCAAGGAGAGAAACCCCATGAAACCGTGTTGAAACCGTTCGTAACGTTCTTTACCGCATGATCTCTCTTCCGCCAACCACTACTCCCTCTCTCCCACCCCCAATTGCTAGGGGCGCGCGCACTCTCAGAGGCTGCGCTAATTTCTCTTGGGGTATCGGTCCGGACTGTGATAATTTTTAATCAACTTTTCAGGTCAGGGGTGTCGGTATGGAGGTACATGTGTACTGGCGGTTCAAGCGAAACCAACAACATTTGTGAGAGAGGCGGCGTACCAGCAACAGTACCGCCATTAGTTTCATCTGAAGACGCGTCGCAGCATTGGTTTGACTCTGGCTGTGAAGCGAACCGCTTGGGGAGTATGAGCAAGGGCAGCTCTCGTGGAGTAATGGCGTGCTGGTTCGGCCAAGCAGCTGGCCACAGGAAGCGCTTGCAACGGCGAGCTCTCGTTTCACCACTCGTAGATTCAGAGGGACGAGCTCTATAGTCTGAGCCGCGTCATTGGAGAAACTCGATGATTCTTTCGTCTTCTCGGAATTCTCTCGTTTCTAGCTTTGCCGCAAGATTTGACGTTACGAAGTTCATCCTTGTTAGTGTCAGCTCAGGACTTTGCTAATCGAACCTTAGCACAAATATAGCCTGTAAGTTTGCGAACATAGGTCTTTTTTTTAGCAGAAGTGGTACGGGGTTTCGTTTCTGCGACAAATCGAATCACAGGCGGCTTGGTTCGGTGCTCGTTTATCGCGGCGCCGCGTCGAATCGTGCACCGCATTGAGCCGCTCTTCGCCGCAGCCATTATGGGAGCCTTCCGAAACGACGACGAGCGGTTACCAGTGGTAACCACGGACTCGCACACCGATCAAGGGACTCCCGGCTTCCCTTGGACTATCAGACAATCAGAAAAATCGGAACGAAATAGTCGTCGAAAGCTACAATCCGAGGATCCGTCGACCGGCCACAAGTGGCTCTACTCCCTAGCCCTGTCGTTCTTTCTGCCGTCCTCTCAGCTTCAAAGAGATGCTGCTGCCGAGCCTTCTCAGAAGCCGCCTCAGCAACGGATACCGAAGCAGACTCGGAAGCAGAAGCAGAAACAGATGCAGCAGGAGATACAGAAGCCGAGCGAGGAGCAGACGGGCTACTGGGCGCTCTTCCGCCTCGCGCTGCCGTCCATTCTGCTGCAGAGCGGCGCGCCCCTCGCCATCACCGTGCAGACGGCGCTGCTGGGCCGCAAGGACACGCAGCTCGTCGCGGCATGGGCCGTCGTCGCCAGTGAGTACTCCTAGTGAGAGCTTCTAACGTCTCCTAGTAGGCTAGGAAGGCTCTGGTTATCCCCGCGCGCCCCTCGCCATCGCCGTGCAGACGGTGCTGCGGGGCCACAGGACACGGCGGCAGCTTGTTGACTTTTGAGTCGACTCAAAAGTCACCACAGGACACGGCGCAGCTTGTCGCGGCATGGGCCGTCGTTGCGAGTGAGTGAATGATGGGGCATGGGTGAGCACTAGCCTCTAGCGTCTAGGCCATGGAGGCTCTGGTCATCGCCGCGCGTCCCTCGCCGTCGCCGTGCAGACGGCGCCGCTGCTGGGGCGCAAGCACGCGCAGCTCGTCGCCGCCTGGGCCGTCGTTGCGAGTGAGAGCATGGCGGGGCGTGGGGTGGGTGTAGCCAGTGACGTGCACACGGAAGCAACGGCACGCTCGCTGCCGCACAGGGCCGTCGTTGCGAGTGAGTGAATGGTTTGGGCCATGGGTTGTTTTTGCACTCGCCGTGCAGGCGGCGCTGTGGGAGGGACGAAAGAAGACGGAGTTTGTTGCTGCGACGGGTGTGGTTGCCAGTGCGCAGCGTACCTTGACTTGGTTGCCTCCCCACACTTCAGTCCCTCCTTGTGTCCGTGGTACTTTCCCCCTTTGCCTCCCCCTTCGTTCCTCCCCTTGCGCCGCACTGTGCAGCGGCCACGAATGCAGCGACCGTCATTTTCAACTTCCTCGTTGTCGGGGTCACAGCAAAGGTGGGTGGGTGGGTGGGTGGGTGGGTGGGTGGGTGGGTGGGCGACAGCTAATATGGGTGGCAACTAAAGGTGGGCGACAACTGAGGTGGGCGACAGCTGAGGTGGGCGACAGCTGAGGTGGGCGACAGTTAAGGTGGGCGACAGTTAAGGTGGGCGACAGCTGAGTTTGGCTGACATCTGAGTTGGGCGGCAGCTGAGTTGGGCGACAGCTGAGGTGGGCGACAGCTAAGGTGGGCGACAGTTGAGTTGGGCGACAGCTGATTTGGGCGACAGCTGAGTTGGGCGACAGCTGAGGTGAGCGACAGCTAAGGTGGGCGACAGTTGAGGTGGGCGACAGTTGAGGTGGGCAACAGTTGAGGTGGGCGACAGTTGAGGTGGGCGACAGTTGAGGTGGGCGACAGCTAAGGTGGGCGACAGTTGAGGTGGGCGACAGTTGAGGTGGGCGCTGCTGAGTGACTTGGCCACTCTCTTCCCCCCACTCCCCCACCCCTCACTTTTCCTCTTCCCTCTGTTTTGTTTCGGCCCTGTAGGTCACTAAGGTGGTGGCAGTGGGTGGATGGACGCAAGTGGGCGCTCGAATCCGTCTGGCATTGGCCATGGCACTAGCCACTGGCGCAGTGGCCGTGGCTATTCTGCTCTCCGCTCAAGGACTGCTGTGGACGATGCTGAGTCACTCGCCCTCCGTGCTGCAGTACGCTAAGAGCTACTTTTACTTAAGAGTCATGGGCGTGCCGCCGCAGCTGCTGGTGATGTGCACATCGGGCGTGCTGCAGGGCTACAAGGTATGGAGAGGGAGGAATCATGGCCATGGCAGCTTGGGAGGGGATCCGCTATTCTTTTAGCACTAGTTCTTGTGGCATGGCTGTAAGCAGCAAGATTATTGCTAGACGTAACAACCTCTTATATTTCCCTCAAAGTCTTTTCCCCTCTGCTCTTCAAAGTCCCTTCGCCCTCTGCTCTTCAAGTCCCTTCCCCCTCTGCTCTTCAAGTCCCTTCGCCCTCTGCTCTTTTGCGCTCCTTCACCCCCGTTTCCCCTCAGCACGTGGTGCTGGTGGCATGGCTGCAAGCAGCAAGAGTGCTTCTGGACGTGCTGGCGTCCTACATCTCTCTCTACGTCCTCGACTGGGGGCTAGTGGGTGTCGGCATCGGCACCATCCTCGCATCCTGCACCGTTGCAGCCGCTTCGTTTGCCTGCATACTCCTGCTCCCACCCCCAGAGGGCAAAGGGAAAATCTGCATATTCTCCCCGATCCTCTCGTTCCTCGCTCGGAGAGTCTCCGGACCGCAGAGGCTGCTCTGCCGAGCCTCAAGCCAGCTGATTTCCCGAACCTGCTCAAAGGCTCGGATGTGTGGTGTGGCAGTGTTGGAAGACGCTCGGGTGCTGCTTTTGGATGGCTTGGAGAGGGACAGGGATGGGAAGGAAGGGGGCGGGATAGAGGGGAGAACTGTGAAGAGTTGTGAATCAGCGTATGAGCTCATTCAACAGTCGCATGGGTGTGCACATGGGGAAGGGGCGACAGAGTACGAAGCGAGGGAGGGATGGGATGAGGAAAAGGAGGGGCGTGAGGGCCAACAAGTGGAGGGCAGGGAGAGCGAAGTGGATGCAGCAGAAGAGAGCAGGCCAGTTGCGAAAAAACCTGAGAAAGAGGCTGATGAAGAGAGTGAGAGAAATACTTATAATGAGGAAATGCTTCTGGGTGTTGATGGAGGGGTAAGGAGGGAGGGGCCGGCATGGCCATGCGTGGACGAACTGGAGGTTAGGGTGGTGGTGGAGGAGAGAGCAAGAATCCACGCATCTGCTTTCACAGGCTGGGAAGGGAGAGAGGATGGGGAAGGGAGAGGAAGTGGAGAAGAGCGAGAGTCTGGGGGATGAGAAGGGAGAGAGTGTGGCGAGTGAGGAGATTCTGAGGGGGGGAGGAAGGGGCGGCAAGAGGGGAGCGAGAGAGGAAGGGAAGAGCAAGGCAGAGGAGGAGGAGGAGGAGGAGGAGGAGAGGATAAACGAGGTGCTGAATGAAAGCACGTGGAAGTTTCTCAGGGACGGACTGAGCACCATTCTCAGAAGCACTCTTGTACAGGTGGGTGGGTGGGTGGGTGTGGGTGTGGTGGTGTGTGTGTGTGTGTGTGTGTGTGTGTGTGTGTGTGTGTGTGTGTGTGTGTGTGCATGTGTGTGTGCATGTGCGTGCACCCTCAACCATCTCACCGACCCCCCGTGCACATGGGATGGCCACCATCTCCTGCCCTTTCATCTCCACCTATAGTCAACTGAACCTCCTCCTCCTCTCTCGCCCACACACCCTCTTTTATCGCAGGTGTCATTTTTCCTCGTGCTCTCCTGTGCCACTTCTCTCGGGGTGCACGCCGTGGCAGCACACCAGGTAAATCTCTCTGCTGTTTTCGCTTTGTTGCCATCTTGAGAATCTCTTGGGGTGCATGCTGTGGCATCGTATCGCATCGCATCAGGCGCAACCCTCCAGGGGCCTCGTCCATGATCCCCCTTTCCCCTTTAACCCCCCTTATCCTCCGGCCTGGGTGATTCTTTTGTTGAAACATGTCGGAAGGATCCTTGCTGTGCCACGCCTTTCCGTTGCCCCTCCCGTCTCCTCTTCCCTCGCCCCAAAGCCCCTGCCTTTATCACATCCCAGTGCACCTCTCATATCCCCATCCCTCACACTCGATTCCTCCCCCCCTATGTGTTGGTGGGCACTGGGATCGTCCTATGTGTTGGTGGGGCACTGGGATCGTCCTATGTGTTGGTGGGGCACTGGGATCGTCCCGCAGTTGAGTGTGGGAGGGCTACAGGTCCGTCCTGAAGGGTAATGGGAGCGTTCACCCACCAGAGCATGCCCTTTTAACCCAGTCGGTAGCGGTCTGGGCGGACACGATGCCCTTCCCCGTTTCCCCTTCCCCGTTTCCCCTTCCCCGTTTCCCCTTCCCCGTTTCCCCTTCCCCGTTTCCCCTTCCCCGTTTCCCCTTCCCCGTTTCCCCTTCCCCCTCAGCTCCTCTGGCAGCGATGGATGGTCATCGTATGTAGCCGGCACCATAGTGGCCAGCATTCCACCAGGGAAAGTGTCTTAAACCGTGTCTCCCCTTCCACTTTCCTCCTCCCCCCATCCCCCCTCAGATCCTCATGCAGCTGTGGATGGTCAACATTTACATCGCCGATGGCTTTGCTACAGCCGGCACCATAGTGGCCAGCAGCCTGGCGGGAAAGATGGCCCAGGCGAGGACAAGGGAGGAGCACGCAGGGCACTTGGCAGACCTCAGGCTCGTGTGCTGGCGCGTGTTGAGGATGGGGCTGATCGCGGGTGAGAGAATGGTTTTGGGGCCTGTAATGCAAGGAGTGTGGCCGGTATGATTGCACTTAGGCGAGGACAAAGGAGGAGCCTGCGGGGCTCAAGGCAGACCTGAGGCTGGCGTGCTGCGGATGGGGCTGGTGGCAGGTGAGGGAGGGGGTTTGTTAGATGTAGGTTTTTCGAGTGGCAAGCAGCTTAGCTGGGAAAATGACCCAGGCAAGGGCAAGGAGGCATAGCAGAAGAAGTGGGTCAGAGGGATCGGGGCCAGGCAGCCCCAGCACATCCTTGGAGTACCACAGTATCACTCTCTTCACTTACTGCCAAGGCACTTCTTGAGGCGCCTGAGAACCACTCTTCACGAATGATGAAGCCACCAAGGCGCAGCTGAAGCAGATGTTGTTGTGTGTGCCTCCCATGGTCCCATCCCCACTCTCTCTCTCCCCTCCCTTGTTCCCCTCCCTCCCTCCAGGCGTCCTCATCTGTGCGGCATACACATACCTGGTGCTCATGCACCTTCTCGCCCTCTCACTCGCATGCCCTCTCGCTCTCTCCTCTCACCCTCTCCCTCCAGGCGTGCTCATCCCTGGATGACCGCATCACGGCACTCTTCACGTACGACCCAGCCACCAAGGCGCGGCCGTTTATCTCTTCTTACTCAGGTTACAAATCTCATGCACCCTCGCAACCTCCCTCCCTCTCGCCCTCTATCCCTCTCCCTCCAGGCGTGCTCATCTGTGCGGCATACACATCCCTGGAGGACCGCATAACGGCTCTCTTCACGTACGACGCAGCCACCAAGGCGCAGCTCAAGGAAGTGTGGCTCTACCTGGCGCTCATTCAACCCCTCAACTCCGTTGTGAGTGAACGGTTATCTGTGCCATTGCCATGCCACCTGGGTGTTCCGTGTTGACTCTTGTACGGAGCTTCCCTTCCAGCATCATGTTGTCGCTCTCTTTACATGCGACCAAGCCCCCGAGGATCAGCTCAAGCGAGTGTGGCTCTACCTGGCGATCATCCAACCCCTCAACTCCGTCGTAAGTGGAAAGTTGTCCGTGCCCGCGGTGCCACTTGTACGGAGCTGTCCTTCCAGCATCATGTTGTCCGACCCCTCAACACACTACACCAAGCCACCGAGGATTAGCTCAAGCAAGCGTGGCTCTACCTGTGTGTGTCCAACGCGCCCACCCATGCAGCACTGGGTGTTTGAGACGCCTCAAAAGCAATATTCTATCACGTGATTACGCAGTCTCACAAGGACCACCCACCCTGTCTTCTTACAATCCCTTGGGTGTGTCCAACGCGCCCACCCATGCAGCACTAGGTCCTCCTCCCCGTTTCTCCCTCTCCAATCCTTCCCTTACCCGCACCCCTCCCTCACCTCTCTGAATATCTTTCCTCCTCAAATCTGCATTTCACGGCTTCATCTGTGCGTGCATGTCTCACTCTCTTCCTTCCCGCCTTTGACCCTTCCACCCCCTTTTTTCTCTGCACGCTTTTGTGGATGACAGCCTCATCTACACAGCTCAGCCTTTCTCCTACATGGCTGTGTGCTTGACCCCCAAGCAAAGCTTATCCCCCCTCACTCAGACTCGCTTTTCCCCTCCCCTATCCCCCCATCATGATGCAGGTCTTTGTGTACGATGGGCTCGTCCACTCAGCTCAGGCCTTCTCCTACATGGCTGCGTGTCCTGCCAGCAATCACTGCCCCTCGTCCCCTCACCCAGCATCCCTTGTGTCCTCTCCTCCATCTCCCCTTCGCAGGTTTTCGTGTACGACGGGCTCATCTATGCAGCACAGGCCTTCTCCTACATGGCTGCATGCCTCACTGTTGGCTTCTTCACTCTCTTCCTCCCAGTCGTGTGTAAGTGCTTCTCTCTGTTCATCTCCTTCCCATATGCGGTTTCTTGCGGGCCTGCCTTCTACAAACGATGGCAAGATAGCTTCCTGCTCCTTCTCCCATCACCACCTTTTTCTCAGTATAGCTTCCTATCTCCTCCCTCTGACAGCTCTCGCTTATTTCCACTTCAAGACGCTCCTCGCCGCATGGGCAGCAAAGGGTGTACTCAACGCGGTACGCTTCGTGGTGGCCAGTTACAAAATACACGTCGACTTCCTCTGCCCGGACGCGTCCCACCTACCACCGCAACCGTTCCTGGACCCAATCTCTCAGGCTCCTAAAAAAGGCCGTCGCTTACAAGATACACGATGACTTCCCTGTATAAATTAGCACTAGTATAAATTAAAATCATTGAAATAAGTGAGTTATCAAAGGCTAAGAATGTACTGTATAAAGCCCATGTATAAAGCCCATTGTCATCTACATTTGAGGGGGTTCCTTCCCGGTGTAGGCTTGTACTACTACTCATTTCCTTACACTCTTGTGAATATCCTTGGCAAAGTGTACAGAAAAGGACACCAATAGTTGCAGAGCAGACAACACCAGCAGCAGAATGAGAAACGGCATTCAGCCAACACACTCGTACATAGTATGTACTGCATACAGTTTCACACAAAGTTGAAGTAACACTCCGGTTTTGTGCACTCTGAAAATGGCAGGTTGTTGGGGGCAACCATTGCCTCAGTGGTGATGGTGAATGGCTTCTTGAAGGGAGGGTGGTTGTAGTCGGCTTCGATGAACATTGCTCTGTACCCACCATCCTGCATGCAGCAGACAGACAGGCAGACGGACAGGCAGACAGACATGTAGACGGACAGACAGATGGACAGACAGATGGACAGGCAGACGGACAGACAGATGGAGAGGCAGACGGACAGGCAGACGGAAAGGCAGACGGACAGACAGAGGAAGAGGCCATATCAAAGTGGTGGGAGCGAGAATGGCCTTTGCGGTGGTGGCGAGAGGCTTCTCGTACGGGCCGTGGTTGAAGTTTGCTTCGATCAACAACGCTCAGTACCCGTCCTGCAAGCAACAGACGACTTCCCACTGCTAATTTCCTGCTTCATCAGCAGCAACCAGCTATTGAGCTGGTCGTTTCCTGTCTAATTCTGAAGTCCTTCTTGTGTTTTGGATGTCACAGCCCCCTGAATAATCACAGGTGAGCACCACCTGATTTCAAAGCTTTAAACCACACTCGCCTCAGGTGCTGCTCTTATCGAGTACACACACACATAAGGAGCTGCTCTTATCGAGTACACACACACATAAGGAGCTGCTCTTATCGAGTACACACACACATATCTGGTGCTGTTTTTATCCAGTTCAAGTAGTCGACTTAAATAACTTCCTTTGGTGTAGTTTCTATTGAGTACAAACCACACTCACCTTGGGCACCCTTTAACTGCCACAACGCATCAGTCTCTGGCTTGGGCTAGGAAACAAAGTCACTGACCAATGCGATGGGCTGGGCACAGAACATGCTAAGTAACGATGCCGTTTGTATCGAGTACAAAGAGCACACACACAAACTCACCTTGGGCACATCGGCCATGGTGGCTCTGAAAGGCCACAGCCCGTCATCCCCTGCCATGTGCTTGCACACAGGAGCAGTCACGAACGGGATGGGCTGGGCTCGCAAGACGTGATGCTGCTTGTATCGAGTACACAACAGAACACACACTCACCTTGGGTATATCAGTCATGATGGCCTTGAAATGCCACAACCCGTCATCCTCCGCCATGGGCTTGGACACAGGAGCAGTCACGAACGGGATGGGCTGTGCACACAGCATGCCGAACTTGCCAGCGTACGTGGAAGGGGGCATCTGAAAGGGCGCAACACTGGGGGAGGGGAGGGATGGGACGGATGGGAGGGATGGGAGGGAGGGGAGGGGGGAAGGGGGGGGGGGAGGGGAGGGAGACGCAGATTGCGATAGAGCATAAGGTGTTTCCAAGTGCACAGAGCATGCCGAACTCGCCGGGGTCGGTGAAAGAGGGCATCTGGAACTGGAAGGGTGGCACGCTGAGGAAGGAGAGGGAGGCGAGGACAGGGAAAGGAGTGGAGGGAGGCGAGGGAGGGGAGGGTGATGCAGAAAACGATGGATCAGAAGGTGTCTCCAAGGGTGCAGAGCATACCAAACCTGCCAGGGTATGTAAAGGAGGCGTTCTGAAGAGAGCAACACTGAGGGAGGGGAGGGTGATGCAGAAAACGATGGATCATATGGCGTCTCCGAGGGTGCAGCATACCAGACCTGCAGGGTATGTAAAGGAGGGCATCTGGAAAAGGGCGAGACCTAACTTACCAGCCAGCCTGTCTCACCTCTCCCCTCACCACTTGCCTCACCTCCCTACCATAGCCACTCGCCCCTCACCACCCTACCTCACCTACTCGTCCCTCACCATCCTACCTCACCCACTCGCCCCTCACCACCCAACCGTACCCACTCGCCCCTAACCAGCCGGTCTACCCACTCGTCCCTCACCAGCCGGTCTGCCCACTCTTCCCTCACCAGCCGGTCTGCCCACTCTTCCCTCACCAGCCGGTCTGCCCTTGCTTGATGACCATCCGGAAGTCCCTTCGCTTGCTGCCCTTAAACGTGCGGGCAGTCCTGAAGGAAAGAGCAGATTTTTTAAAGGGGGGAAATGGGAACAGTTGAAGGGGGCAAACAGATGAGGAGGCAATTGAGATGATGAGAGTGAGGTGATCAAAGAGATTCGAAGGCATCTGAGTGGAATGCCAACTAAGGCAAAAGGCAAAAAAGGTAGCACAAAGGCTCTACCCATCACCCACCCACCAACCACCCACCACCCACCCACCAACCACCCACCACCCACCCACCAACCACCCACCACCCACCCACCAACCACCCACCACCCGCCCACCAACCACCCACCACCCACCCACCAACCACCCACCACCCACCCACCAACCACCCACCACCCACCCACCAACCACCCACCACCCACCCACCAACCACCCACCACCCACCCACCAACCACCCACCACCCACCCACCACCCACCCACCAACCACCCATCACCCACCCGCCCTCCTACCCCCCAACCCCCTCTCTCACCACGCCCTGACAGCCAATGGCTTGCGCTCTGACGTGGCATGGATGGTGAACGTGGACCAATCAAAGCGCCACCTCAGGTTCGGCCACGACACAGCTGGCAGCTTCGGCGAGCAGCTCCAAGGCAACAGCTTAGGCTGGGCACCTTCCGGACCTCTGGCTCCGGCTTCTCCTGCTCCTTCTTGTGCGAACAGGCCAGTACCCTCGACTGCAACGGCCTTTAAAGAGGATGGGGATGAGGATGAGGTGGACGAAGAGGAATTGGAGGAGGAGGAGGAGGAGGAGGAGGAGGAGGAGGGGATGTTGGGGCGGGTCCACGTGAGAGCGGGGCGGGAGGAGGCGGGGAGAGAGGCACAGGAGGAGTTGACTTCTAGGAGAGAGGCGAAGAAGGAGAGGCACGCGTCGTAGGCCTGTTGGATAGCGTGGGGAGGGAGGAAGGAGGGGAAAAGCGGGAGGAGGAGTTGGGGATGCGGGGGGGAGTGGGTGGGGGGGTTTGAGCGGGAGAAGAGGGGTCTTGAGGGCGTAGCAGGGGCCCGACAGGAAGAAGAGTGGAAAAGAGGCATCATTCAGGAAGCAGTCCTCTCGAGGGCACAACGGGACCGGGGTAGTCAGAACCAAGGGAACACCGACCAGGAGGCACAGCGAGTTGAGGGCAGCGCGGGGGAAAATATATTACAAAAAATGGTAAGAGTTCTGGACGGGATGTAGCAGAGAGGATGCGGCATCCGAACGGGCGAGGGTTTTGAGAGCGTTAAGGGAGTACTGATTTCAAGCAGAGAGCGTGGCAGTGAGAGAGGGCGACGTACCCAAAAGGAGTTCTGAATGGCCATGTGGTACAGGTTGGGCACTATCTTCACCTGCGTTGGCTGCGGCATGTCCTTGAGAAAGTAGTAGCTGCGTGGGAGTGGAAAGGGGGGGGGGGAGGAGAGAGGGAGGAAACTGGGTGCTGGGAAGGTGCACGCCCTGTCGAAAGTAATGATTACTAGTGACGAACAGAGGGCTAAAATGTGTATTGGGGCACTCACGTGTCGTCGATGAGGAAGAACTCGTCGTTGGAGGCAGAGATGAGGAGCTTGGGCATGTCCATGCGGGCGATGAACGAGTATGGGTCAATCATATCCTGGCGGCGTGAGAGGTGGGACGGTTCAAACCGGCATGAGCTCATGGTGCAGCTGAATGCCATGACACAGAGACAGTTGCTCATGGTGCATCTGAATGCCATGACACAGAGACAGTTGCTCATGGTGCATCTGGATGCCATGACACAGAGACAGTTGCTCATGGTGCATCTGAATGCCATGACACAGAGACAGTTGCTCATGGTGCATCTGAATGCCATGACACAGTGACAGTTGCTCATGGTGCATCTGAATGCCATGACACAGAGACAGTTGCTCATGGTGCATCTGAATGCCATGACACAGAGGCAGTTGCTCATGGTGCATTTGAATGCCATGACACAGAGACAGTTGCTCATGGTGCATCTGAATGCCATGACACAGAGGCACATGCCTTGCTCCACGCGCCCATGCATTGCTCCACGCGGGCATGCATTGCTCCAAGCGCTCATGCATTGCTCCACGCACACATGCATTGCTCCATGCGCACATGCATTGCTCCATGCGCACATGCATTGCTCCATGCGCACATGCATTGCGCACATGCATTAATAGCAGACATTTCGCAGAGTATTGTGCATAAGCCAATAATTCTAAAAATTTGAGAAGTTGATATTGCGTTTTTTTCTGCTCACAAAGCTTATGGGCCAACAGGAGTAGGAATTGTTTGAAACAAAAAAACACCGAAAATATACTTGTTGATGTAATCTGAGGAGGCGGAAAACTTTCTCCTAATGAAGAAAAAGAGCCAATGGATTTGAAGGCTAATAAATTTGAAGCGGGAGCTAACAGAAAAAAGGACTTCCTTGAAAATTACCCTTAAAACTTGAAATATAAAACCAACCATATTACCGAGATGCAACAACTCAAAAAAAAAGAAGCTACTGTTTTATCAGAGATTTAATTTTATTTCTGCAAAGAAATCGTTTGTGAGAAAAAAAGACTGTTGATGAAAGAAACAAATGAGGAGCAGCCAAAAAAAAAAAAGAGAAAATGAAAAATGAAGCTAGGCAAACGAGCAGGAGATTATAGCGTTAAAGTTTGATATCTTTAGTATAAATAGAAAATTCAAGAAGTCAAAGAAACTAAAAAAATTATGTTGGTAAGCATGTCTTCTTATGTAGTTACAGTGGCTTACGATGGAAATCTTAAAAAGCAACTGTAACATTCTTCTTTCTACAGAATTTATTAGCAATTCTATATTATCTAATCTATTTGCAAGCATTTTTTTTAGCTGTTTTTTTTTATTTAATAACTGAAAAACGCACATGCACTGCTCCATGCGCACAGCTTAGAGCAAACGCGCAAAAGCAAGGCACGAAGCCAGCAAAGATTCCATACAAACGAAGTAATGTGGGATGCTAGGAGTTGCGAGGGAAGGAAAGTTATGAGGCGCCTCAAAACCTCAAAACTGAGGCACCTCAAAGCGTCAGAACTACAGCGCCTCAAAGCTAAACGTAGTAGGATGCTAGGAGTTGCAAGTTAAGGAAACGGAATGCAGAGGACAACGGAATGATAACAGCAAGAGGGCTTGTGAAAATCCTAAATTCAAAATCCGAACAAGAACAATGCAAAGGTGCGAGCGATGATGCATAAACAAGCTGATGTGGGATAATAGGAGCAGAGGCCCTCTGCCAAACGAATCGAATTCCCAGTCTCTTGCACATAGCTCCTCGGACCCCCACCCCACCCTTCCCCCCCTCCCTCCCCTCGCTCCCCTCCCTCGTCTCCCCTGGAGGCTGGAGCCATTCTCAAGGCAAAATCTTACCGTGAGCTTCTTGTACTCCTTGGAGCGCTGCGAGATGTTGCACTCGGAGTTGAACTTGAGCGGAATGGGCCAGCCGCCAAGCAGATCAGCCCCCCAGCACACCATCCCCCCCCAGCAAGCCAGCCCCCCAGCAAGCCCGCACGCACCAACTCACCGCTAGTTTCCGGTACTCCTTGGAGTGCAGGCGCTGCGAGATGTTGTACTCGGAGTTGAACTTGAGCAGTATGGGCCAGCCGCCCAGCGAGTCGTGCATGTGCTGCAGGTTGGGAACCACGTTCAGCAGGTCGTAGCCGTATGTCATAAACGCCACTACACGCTGAATGAGAGAGAGAGGGGGGGGAGAAGAGGCGAGAGGGGGGGAGGTAGTGGAGGGCGCAGGAGGGAAGTGACATGAATGTGCTGCAGTTTGGGCACGATGTTCAGCAGGTATCCTTTTGTCAATGAACACCACTACATGCTGAACAACAGAGGAGGGGGGGGGAAGGAGGGGGGGAGTAGGGGGGTAAAGCGGGGGAGGAGGGAAGTGCTATGAATGTGCTGCAAGTGGTGGACAACGTTCAATAGGTCATAGCCATATGTCATGAACGCCATCACACGCTGAATGACAGAGGGGAGCAGAAGAGGGAAGGGGGTGGGGGTTGGGGGGGGGGGGGGAGAGGAGAGGGAGGAGGAATGGAAAGGGGGGAGGGAAGTGGAGGGACGAGGGGGGGAAGTGTGGAGGAGGGAGGAGAAAGGGCAATCATGAATGTGCTGCAGGTTGGGAACGAGATTGAGGAGGCCGCAGCCGGGGGGCGGCTCATGACCAACACGCACACCGGTGCGAAAGGGAGTGGACTTTTGAGTCAACTCAAAAGTCATCTCGTGGTGTGGAAGGGAAGTGCGGGGGTGGATATGCAATTTATGGGGCGCCTAAAAAAAAAAAAAAACACATTGATTCTGGAAAGGAAGTGCGGGGGGTTGGGGAGTGGGGGAAGATAAAGCGAGCGATGTTGAACAACAGGTTGGAGACGGCGTTTAACAGGTTGGAGACGGCGTTTAACAGGTTGGAGACGGCGTTTAACAGGTTGGAGACGGCGTTTAACAGGTTGGAGACAGCGTTTAACAGGTTGGAGACGGCGTTTGACAGGTTCGAGACGGCGTTTAACAGGTTGGAGACGGCGTTTAACAGGTTGGAGACGGCGTTTGACAGGTTGGAGACGGCGTTTAACAGGTTCGAGACGGTGTTTAACAGGTTGGAGACGGCGTTTAACAGGTTGGAGACGGCGTTTAACAGGTTGGAGACGGCGTTTAACAGGTTGGAGACGGCGTTTAACAGGTTGGAGACGGCGTTTAACAGGTAGGAGACAGCGTTTAACAGGTTGGAGACGGCGTTTAACAGGTTGTATCTGTTGGTTAGGAGTCTATTTTTGAGGTGCCTCAAAAATAGACTCCTCACGTTTAACAGGTTTTATCTGTTGGCCATCAACAACACCACGGTGTACCCATAAGCCATACCGCAGCTTGTCTTGTCTACAGCTGCACCAATGCTCTTGAGTCGACTCAACGACTCAAAAGAGTTCAACAAGTCACAGTCCGAAGTCATACCGTACCGTACCTTGTCTAGAGCAGCTGCAATGTAGGACATGCCAGCGCGCTTGCTCACTCCGACTGCCACAAAGCCCTCCACCTGCAGGCAAGGCAAGCAACCGCAATGAAATGCGCAACACACAAAATACACTCAATTGTCGCAAAGCCCTCCACGTGCAAGCAAGCAACTGCAAGCGGAGATGGGCAATGATGGGGAAATGACTTTGGGTTGAGTCGAAAGTCATGTCTTCGTGAATGAGCGGATCGGTGAGGGCCTGAGAAACACTGGCAACAGCCCCCTAGCGGCAAGATACTGGCCTGCGTCCAACCCTTTTGATACAGTCACCAGCACATGAGGCAATGGTGGCAACAGCCCCCCAGGGACTAAATGTGTGGCATCGGCCGCTTTGGATGATGGACTGACTTGGCCTTTGGGAGAACAGGGGCGCTGCACTGGGACACACAGCATGCATGCAGTACCAACCAACCCCCGAGCCACACTCACCGGCACATGGGGCAGCAGCTCCCTGGCGGCCAGCTGCGAGGCATCCAGCGCTCGGATGATGGACTTGGCCATGGGGAGAGGCGTGAGCCACTCCCACTCGTCCGGGTGGTCCAAAAACATGGCGATGGTGTCTGCAGCACCATGGCCACACACAGAAGCGTCATGCAGCAGGGACGAGGGGGCCGAGGGGGAGGAGGGGGGGAAGGGGGTAGAGGGGGAGGAGATGCGTTGCCCTGCATTGCCATGGGAATGAGCCACTCCCAGTCGTCAGGATGGCCCAGGAACATGGCGATGGCGTCTGCTAGTGGGGGGGTGGGTGATGATAAGTCAGGGGAACAGGACGAATGAGTGTTCATGGGGTGGGTGGGCCACTCCCTCCATCCCACTCGTCAGGATGGTCCAAATACATAGCGATGATGGTGTGTGCATGTGCATGGCGATGATGGTGTGTGCATGCGCATGGCGATGATGGTGCGTGCGTGTGTGGGAAGGGTCACCGATCTCACGTGCTCTGATCTCCTCCTCCCAGTGACTGGCTCAGCACAGCAGCCAATCCCTGTTGTGTGATTGAATGAACCACTCTCGTGCTGTGCTCCCCCTTCAATCATTCTCACCCCCACTCTCGTGCTGTGATCTCCTCCGCCTCTGAATTGGCACGAAGGCCAATCCTTGGATTGAACATAAGCATAACAACCCAACCTCATCCTAGCATGCAGCATTGCCTCACGTGCTGTGCTCCCCCCTCGATCATTCTCACCCCTACTCACGTGCTGTGATTTCCTCTTCCTCCAGCCTGGCACGGGCGCCAATCCCTGGCGGGCCCACGTGGAAGGTGATGGGCATCACGGGCACCTGCTGCAGCATCACGCCTAGGATGCCCAGCTCCACCACCATGCTGCGTGCGAGGGAGTGACAGAGGTGGGGCAGACAGACAGACAGAGGTGGCGTGGGGGAGAGAGTGAGGATAGTGAGGATCGCAAGGGGGAGAGTGAGGATCGCAAGGGGGAGAGTGAGGATCGCAAGGGGGAGAGTGAAGTGAAGGAGGCGCGGAAGAGGGAAGTGAATAAAGCTGATGGGCATCATGGGCAGCATGGGCGTCATGGGCATCATGGGCATCATGGGCGTCATGGGCATCATGGGCAGCATGGGCGTCATGGGCATCATGGGCATCATGGGCGTCATGGGCATCATGGGCATAATGGGCGTCATGGGCATCATGGGCAGCATGGGCGTCATGGGCGTCATGGGCATCATGGGCATCATGGGCGTCATGGGCATCATGGGCAGCATGGGCGTCATGGGCGTCATGGGCGTCATGGACGTCATGGGCGTCATGGGCAGCATGGGCATCCGCAGCAGCATCATGCCTAGGATTCCGAGACCAAGGACGATGCTGCGTGGGGGGGGGGGAGAACACGCAAAGGGAAATCACATGGAGGAGGGGGGCAGAAGCCACAGTGAAGGGCACCATGGGCAACATGGGCGTCATGGGCATCCTGCGCATGTAGCATGTGCGGGACAGTGAGGCGGATGAAGATCCTGCCCGCCCCTTCTCCTCCCCCCCCATGTGAACCTTATCGATGGACGCATTGACTTGATGAGCTCACTCCAAGGATGCATGTTAAACAGGAGTTGAAGGCGCGTCTACCAAGTGAGTCGACCAAGGCACACGGAGTGAGTCGGCTGTGCATACACTTTCGAGCCGACTCGAAGAGGCGGTACAAACAGAGCAGCGAGGAGATTTTGAGGTACCTCAATCAAACAGCGTGTACACACAGAGGAGGGGGCATGTACACGCAGAGGAGGGGGCATGTACACGCAGAGGAGGGGGCATGTACACGCAGAGGAGGGGGGATGTACAGAGCCGTGAGGAGGCGGATGAAGATCGCGTCAAGCCCCGGGATGTGCACACGTCATTGAATAAATCACAACCCCGTCAACTCTTGAGACACATGCAAACCATATCAAAGAGCCCAAGAAACGGACTCCAACAAAGAGATGCGTTCGGTGCAGAGCCGCGAGGCGGGTGAAGATGTCGTTGCGCTGGCCATGGGGATGTGCATGTGATTGATTCATGAGAATACCGCCGAGTCAGCTCTAGTGCGACATGCAAATCCATAAACATGGTGCTAAAAACGGGACATCCATGTAAAGGGTACGCACGGGGCAGCAAGGCGAATGAAGATCTCGTCGGCCCCCGGGATGTGCACCTGGTTCACTGGATTAAGCCCCGCACCCACAAAGAACAGCACCAGGCCCTTGTGCGCGTTGTGCATGTTGTCAGGCGCCTGCTCGAGAGAGAAGTTCAGATGATGCAGAGGGATGGGAGATTGGGTAGGTAGGACTGGGGGAGGTGAGGGCAGGGGAGGGAGAACCCACAAAGAAGAGCACCAGGCCCTTGTGCGCATTGTGCATCTTTTCAGGCACCTGCTTCGATGATGGGGGGAAGGGGGGTGGCGGGGAGATGATGGGGGGAAGGGGGGTGGCAGGAGACGATGGGGGGAAGGGGGGTGGCAGGGAGACGATGGGGGGAAGGGGGGTGGAGGGGAGATGATGGGGGGAAGGGGGGTGGCGGGGAGATGATGGGGGCAGGGGGGTGGCAGGGAGACGATGGGGGGAAGGGGGGTGGCGGGGAGATGATGGGGGGAAGGGGGGAAGTGGAGAGAGGCGAAGAGGGTTATGCATAAGAAGCGCACCAGGCCATTGTGCGCGATCGGCATCTTGTCACGCACCTGCTCGGAAAGGGAAACAGGAGTGGCAGGGGAGAAGAAGAGAGCAGGATGTGGCTCCTGTGCGCATTGTGCATCTTGTCAGGCGGCTGCTTGCTTGGGGGGGGGGGGAGGGGAGCAGGGAAGATGATGGGAGAAGGCAGGATGCTGAGGTAAGTGGGAGGGAAGTGGAGACGAAGAGCAGGAGGCCCTTACGTGCGTCGGTTGGACATGTCTGTCGGGCGCCTGCTCAAGAGTAACCCCAAACCCTAGACTAGATGGCCCAGAGGGAGGGATCATTGCAATAGAGCACCCACAAAGACGAGCACCAGCGCCCTTGTGCATGTTGGGGACCTTGTTATCAGGCGCCTGCTACATACAGCATGGCAAGGAAACCCCCATGCCATGCCCTCAGCACCACCCATGTCACACCATCAGCACCACCCATGCCACACCATCAGCGCCACCCATGCCACACCATCAGCACCACCCATGCCACACCATCAGCACCACCCATGCCACACCATCAGCACCACCCATGCCACACCATCAGCACCACCCATGCCACACCATCAGCACCACCCATGCCACACCATCAGCACCACCCATGCCGCACCATCAGCACCACCCATGCCACACCATCAGCACCACCCATGCCACACCATCAGCACCACCCATGCCACACCATCAGCACCACCCATGCCACACCATCAGCACCACCCATGCCACACCATCAGCACCACCCATGCCACACCATCAGCACCACCCATGTGAGGCCCTCAGCACCACCCAGAGCCCCCAGCCCAGCTTGTATCAGACATTGACGTCGGTTCAACCGCCCTGCCGTAGTATCAGCAGCAACAGCCACGAATCAAAAGCTTACAATACAATTAGCATCATGCCACACCCAGCACCAGCCAGCCGGTGCCACCATTTGTATCGGGTGTCTTTTGAGCCGATTCAAAAGCGTACAATGAACATTGAGCACCACCCAGTGCTGCTGCTCCCCTGCCAAATGTGTTAAGTCAAAGGACCACCTTACAATGAGCACCACCCAGTGGTGCATCTGTGAAGAAGAATGTGTCTACGGACCGCCTTACAATGTGTGCAGGGCTTACAATGAGTGCGAGCCAGTGCCACCACTTGTATCGGTTGGTGACGGTGCGGTTGAGCCATGCGTGCGTTGTCACCTTGAGCCAATACCCCGTCCACCACCCTCCGGACTCCTTCTCCCTCATGCGATTGCCCGTGTCTTCCCACCTGCAAATGGTAAACCAGGGGGCAACGCAACACGGAGGACAGCATGAGTGAATCACTGGTTGCTTGGTAACCGTGTGGTTAAGCCATCGGTGCGTGAACATCTGAATCAAATACCCCGCCCGTCCACCACCCTCCAGACGCCTTCGCGCTCATCAGATTGCCTGTGTCCTGCCACCTGCAAGCAGCAAAGGCGATGTGAGTAGGGGAGAATATGCAAGCTCGGCTCGTGACAGTGCCGCTGAGCACTGCTGAGCTGTCTGTGCGTGTGCCCTTGATTTGGCTCCGCATCCAGACCCCCTCCCCCCGAATGCAAGCAGTGAACAGTGCATAGGGCAGGGCTCGCTCAGTGCTGGAGCAAGCAGGCCGGAGTGCATCCGTGAGCGGACAAGTGGAACTGCATGGGCCTGCACCATTTTGCTGCGCATGGGGGAGTAATTCGCTGAGAGAACAGGCACCTGCTTAGGGCTCGTTCCCGCCCAAGGGGGATTTGTCATCATGGTACTGAAGCAAGCTTCCAATCTCCGCAGCTCCTGAGCGCCCACCACCCAAGATTCGACGCGATTCGCTCAATGTAGCAAGTAACGTTCGCGGGATGCTCACCTGAACTCCGGATCCGCGGTATAGACATATCGGTCCATCAGCGAGCCATGGCAGTTCCGCGCAGTTTCGCACCCGCTCTGAGGGAAAGCGGACGGATGATAGCTCGCGGAGTTCCCGGGAAAAAGGCTACCAGGCCGGAGTAACAGGAAGGACGCTAAGTACGCGACTACGAGGACGATGATCAGAACGAGAACGCGACCGCTCGTAACATGAGACTTGAAGATGGCCTGGAGAGTTCTGGACACTCGACTGGTCCCGGACGAGTGGAATCGCGTCATGGCCACTCGACTAGTCGCGAGCCGCTTACGGAATTAGGCTAGTCTCACACGCCGGTATTACAGCCATGCGGAGGGAAATTCTGTTGTCCACGCAGGGAAATGGAGGTGGATGTGAGCCTTTTTTCTCCAGGGTGAAGTTCTGCAGAATTCCAGGGAGTTCAAGGGCGTTGGGACTCCAGGACAAGGTTACCCTACAGTAAGGGCGGGTCCAAATAATTCGTTTCCGCAAAATACCATACCCAACCATTCTAGGTTGCTATTCGAACTCTTTGAAACTCAACGCAAGCTACTCCACCGTAATCAGACGTACTATTTGGACCCGCCCTAACTGCATGATGATTTTAGCACCAGTGGAACTTATCAGTGGTGTTTGATAATGAAATGATCCGGTTGTAAATGCCCATACATGGTGAAACTTGAGTATTATACTCAGATTGACATAGGTACGGAGCTCATAAACAGCAAGCTTGAGGCTTGAGTGTGTGATTTTACGTGCCATGTACTACAATCCCTCGAATATAAGCACGCAAGCGCTTATAGGGAACACCTTTAGAAATGATGGGGTCCAGAGCAGGGCTGACTTTATCAGACTATTTACTCTGATTAGTCTGAAATCTCAGACCTGTTTTTTGGCCAAACCTGAATTTCCAGATAAGGCATTTTCCCAATCCTGATCCCTTCAGAGTACGATTCTAGGGATCCTGAGAAAATCAGAGTTGTCGCTAACCCAGTACTGAGTTTTCAGAGCACAGCGCGTACAGACCCTGACTCATTACCTGTATAGTACCAACCTTCGGAAAATTTGGTGAAGTCCCCAATCGCTAGAGACATGTGTCAACTTATACATATTATCTATGTAGAAGTTATAGGCTAGACTGAGGTATGCTTCTAGTGAGTACAACCAACTAGTATTTGTTCTAGGTTTCCACCCCTAGTAATCATTCGTTTCTACGTTAACATGGTATCACGCTTAGGTTAGGATCCCCCCGCCTACCGCTTCCGCCCGTCGCGCCTCCTAGGCCCCGTCGCGCCCCCTAGGCCCCGTCGCGCCCCCCCTGGGCCCCGTCGCGCTCGTTAGGCCCCGTCGCGCCCCCCCTGGGCCCCGTCGTGCCCGCTGGGCCCCGTCGCGCCTCCTAGGCCCCGTCGCGCTCCCCCTGGGCCCCGTCGCGCCCGCTGGGTCCCGTCGCGACCCCTAGGCCCTAACGCGCCCCCGCTGGGCCCCGTTGTGCCTCCTAGGCCCCGTCGCGCCCCCCATGGGCCCCGTCGAGCCCGCTGAGCCCCGTCGTGCCTCCTAGGCATCTCCTAAGCCCCGTCGCGTCCCCCCCCTCTGGGCCCCGTCGCGCCCGTTCGGCCCCGTCGCGCCCCTCCTAGGCCCCGTCGCGCCCGCTGGGCCCCTTCGCGCTTCCTAGGCCCTGTCGCGCCTGCTAGGCCCCGTCGCGCCCCCCCTGGGCCCCGTCGCGCCCGTTAGGCCCCGTCGCGGCCCCCCTGGGCCCCGTCGTGCCCGCTGGTCCCCGTCGCGCCTCCTCGGCCCCGTCGCGCCCCCCCTGGGCCCCGTCGTGCCCGCTGGGCCCCGTCGCGCCCCTTAGGCCCCGTCGCGCCCACTGGCCCCTGTCGCGCCTGCTGTTAGCGCTCGCCCGCCTGGCCTCCTCCTAGTGCCACTCGGCCTCCTCCTAGTGCCGCCCGGCCTCCTCCTAGTGCCGCCCGGCCCCTTCCTAGCGCCGCCCGGCCTCTCCTCAGCGCTGCCCGGCCCCTCCTCGTGCCCGACCGGCCCCAGCAGCACCAGCCTGGCCCCTCCCAGCACCAGCCCGGCCCCAGAGCACCTGCCCGCCTCCCCTGCTCGGCCTGCCGTGTCCTCTCGGGCCCTGTGTCTTCTGCTTGCCTGCGCTGGGACGCCTAGCTGCTGCCCTACTGGAGAGTGCTGCCGCCGTGTCCCCGCGCTGCTGTGCTCCTGTGCCGCTGAGGAGCTGTGCTGCTGTGCCGCTGTGTCGCTGAGGAGCTGTGCCGCTGACCCTGCACGATGGCTGACTTTGTGCTCCGCCTGGACGCTGAGGGCCTGGCTCTCCGATCTTCGCCGCCAGCTTACAGGTCAGCGCCAGGATGGCCACTCTCTGGTTGTCCATGCTGATGGCTTGCTCCCCCGTCCCCCTGCACCTACTCCCCTCCCTGCTGACCCCTCCTCTGATGACCGTGAGGCTTTCTCTACTGCTGCGCTGGCCTGTGCGGTCTGGGACTCACGTGATGCAGTAGCTCAGGTTGCTATTAGTCACGCCCTCCCTGTGTCTGAGCGCTCGCGTTTTGCTACTGTTGAAACGGCCAAAGCTTATTTAGACGCCGTTATTGCTCGCTATTCCACCCCTGCCTCCGCTTCTGCTGGCCGCTTGCTCTTTCCGATGCTGTTCCCAGACCTGGCTGCCTTCCCTACTGTCGCAGATTTTGCCACTCATTTGCGTGCCCTAGAGACTCGCTATCGCACTGCCAGCACTGCTGCCCAGCTCACTGCGCTCCCCCCTCCTTTCTGCATGACGCTCTATTTTATCGCTATGCGCCTGCCAGACCGCCTCGCTAGTGCTCGCGACCACTTTCTTAGCCAGCACCCGGGTGACCTCACCCTGACCGCCTTTGTCGACACCCTTACTGAGATCGAGACTCGCCAGCGCACTATCGCTCAGTCGAGCGGTGCGCCGGCAGTCTCTATCTTTCACGGCTGTGCCCCATCCCAGTGCACGTTCACTGACGTTTCGGCTGCGGTCGCCACGGCGACCCCTCTTACCGAGACGGCTGTTGCTGTCCACCCGCAGCAGCGCTCGCGTCGCGGTGGCCGTGGCCGCCAGGGAGGTAGGGGTGGTGACGCAGGTGGTAGTGGTCGTGGTGGTGGTGACGGTAGTCCGCCTGAGGGGACTACCACCGGTGGGCAGGAGCAGCAGCCCCAGCAGCAGCAGGACCAGCCCCAGCCGCAGCCGCCGTCCCAGCAGCACCCGCCGCAGCCGTGGGCTCGTCTCCCGCCTGGTTGGCCCGGCACCTCCGGAGGCGGTGGCCGTGGTGGCGGCCCGCGCAGCTTGGCGTCTACCAGCGGCTCCAGTGCTGTGACCTGCCAGTACCAGCTTCAGACCGGGCCTCTCCGCGGCACTCTGTGCCGCCGCCCGCACCCGACCGCCCGCTGTTTCCGCCGCCTCGACGATCTTTTTCGTCGTCGCTTTGGCCCGGCCCCGGACCTCCCTGACTGGCACAGCCTGCTCCGCCAGGGCGTGCCGATCTTTGAGTTAGACATGGATCAGATAGGTGCTGCTTTGCATGCTTTGTATGCTGACGCTTCTAGTGTTGCTGGATCTTACTACCCTGTGTACTCTAGTTTAGGTGTTTCACCCTTGTGTAGCTTAGCTTCCCCTTCTGCGACAGGCGTAGGACTGCCTAGGTTGCCTAGTCTAGTCGCTGCACCGGCTCCATCCCCGGCCTCCGCCACTGCGTCGCTGTCCTTCACTCTCGACTCTGGTGCTTCTGCCTGCTTCTTCCGCGACCGTTCCACGCTCACGCCGCTTGCTGCACCTGCTGTTGTCTCTCTCGCTGACCCCTCTGCGGGTCCGGTCGTCGCGCGCAGTTCTACGTCCCTTCCCTGTCCGGCAGTTCCCTCGGGCTCCCTTACTGGCCTCCACGTTCCCTCGTTCTCCAGGAACCTGGTTGGTGTCGGCTGTCTCCAGGACCTCGGCGTCACCACCACGTTCCCCGGGCACGAGCGGTTCGCTGTCTGTTCTGAGGCTGTCTCAGGTTCCCCCCTTGCGACGTTCCCCCGGGACCCGGTGTCCGGTCTGTTTACCCTACACACCGCTTCCCCCCCGGTTGGTGCGTCCTCCCAGGTCGCTGCAGCTTGCTCGTGTCGGTCCCTCACTCACCCCTCCCTTCTCTGGCACCACCGCTTAGGTCACCCTGCTCTCCCGCGTCTGCGTCACATGTCCCAGCACGGTCTTGTCTTAGGTCTCCCCGCGTCGCTCCCTGCCCTTCCTCCCTCGACTGCGCCACCGTGCACGCCTTGCGTCGAGGGTCGGCTCCGCCGTGCTCCTCACTCCTCCTCGCTGCGTCCTGCTACTGCCCCCCTTCAGACCCTGCACTTGGACGTTTGGGGCCCTGCCCCCGTCCCCGGACCGCGCGGTGAGCGCTACTTCCTTGTGCTCGTCGACGACTACACGCGCTACACCACGGTGTTTCCCCTGGAGCGGAAGGCCGACGTGCCCGACGTTCTTCTCCCGTGGGTTGTGGCTGCGCGTCTCCACCGCGGTCTCCCCGTGTTGTGTCTCCACTCCGACCGTGGCGGCGAGTTCGCCTCTGGTCGGCTTGGACAGTTCTGTCGTGCGGAGGGCATCACCCAGTCGTACACGTTGCCGGACTCGCCACAGCAGAATGGGGTTGCTGAGCGCCGCATCGGCTTGGTCATGGAGGTCGCCCGTACCTCCATGATCCATGCCGATGCCCCCCATTTTCTGTGGCCGTTCGCTGTTCGCTACGCGGCTCACCAGCTTAACCTGTGGCCACGCTCCCAGCGGCCGCAGGTTTCGCCGACCCTCCTTTGGACCGGGTCCCCCGGTGACGCGTCTGCGTTCCACGTCTGGGGCTGCCTTGCTCACGTTCGTGCCTCTGGCACGGACAAGCTCACTGCCCGCACTGTCCCCTGTGTCTTCCTCGGTTTCCCCCTGGACTCGTCTGACTGGCTTTTCTACCACCCGCCGTCTCACCGCTTCCTCCACTCTCGTGATGTCACCTTTGACGAGTCCGTCTCCTTCTACCGCCGCTTCCCTCACCGAGGTCTCCCAGTTGCCCCCCCCCTTTTCCTTGCTCCCTCTCCCCCGGTAGCCCCTGCCCCTCTCCCGCCTCGTCCTGCCCCGTCTGGTGTCTCCCACGTCACTCCCCTCCCGTCGGTTGTCCCCGTTGAGGAGTCTGCTGACTCTGGTGGTACCCCCGGTCCGTCCTTGCCGCGTCCCCCTTCCCCGGTGCCTCCGCCCCCACTGTCGCAGTCGCCGACCCCGCTGCCGCCGCCGTCGCCGTCGCCGCCGCAGCCGTCGCCGCTGTCGTCGCCGCCGCCGCCGCTGTCGCTGCCGCAGCCGTCGCCG